ACACCTTTAGACGGGTTCCTGAACAGCAATCTCTACAATTTTACACTAAGCAAACGAAGCTTTAAATGAAGTAGGAGTGGGACTTCACTCTTCCCAGGAGGACACCCCAAGCATGAGGCTAGGAAGTCACTGTCACACCTTTCTCTGGCCACAGAACAGGACATGGCTTGCTAGCTCAACCATGGACTCATCCATCCCCATTGCCTCATGGAAGAAGCTGTAAGTATTTCTAGGAGGGGGACATGTTACACAAAGGAAGGGAGGTTTTAAAGTACCTAGAAGGAGTAGAAAGCCGGAGTTTAACAGATTTTCTTTTCTCTCTTTAGTATGAATGTGTGTCTCAGCCAATCCTCCACCTAGCAATAGAGCTGCTGTGGAGCTTTCTTCTGACACTGGACTTTCTCTGCTCATTCTACAGGGCGCCTATGTACCTAACCCAAACATTGCTGAATCCTTTGCCTCTCCTACTTAAAACTGAGTTTTCTCCACATCCCCTAATTTCTCACCATCTCCTGCTTTCCTTTTATCAGTCCAACCAGTCTCCTCCAAGTACAAGTTACATGCTTCTTACTCCCCTCCGCCTAAGCACTGCAACTCAAGGAGCAAGCATGAGGGAACACAGAGACACCAATTCTTTAAAATGAAGGTCACCAGAAATGTGAAATGGCAAAACAAGGCATTTTTCCCCTACTCAGACTCCTGCAAGCAGCTGAAATACTTTTTTTCTGAAAGGCTGCAAGCAGTTGGCTCTTGATGAATACAGTGATTAAAAACTTCAATAATATTTCACGTAAGCCCAGAACCAATCTTCCCCCAGGCTTCTTTATTTCAGAAGCACCTCCTTTCTCCAAAACATCACCAGGAAATGACATTTCACCAGCGAGTGTACGGCACTGCAATAAAATAACAGTGCACCCAGGAACTGTTTTCAAATTCACATCAAGAACAAGATGAAGGTATTAAAAACAATTACAAAGGTCTGGCTGAGGAGACAGTCAGCCTTCTCTTTTGCTGTCTGCTTTGCTGGTTCCCAGAGAGCACAGTGTGGCTTTAAAAACCTTGTGCATCCTCCTGAAGCCATCCCAGCTGCATCCAGCCAAGGAAACATGCTCAGGCAAAGAAAATTCAGTATTTTTTTACTGAATTCTTCTGCCATAAGTGAGACTGCTCCTTATCAGTTAAAAGAAACTGTCCCATCAACTGATATAATCTCGCTGTTCAGAAGTTTGCCTATGCTCCCAAAGAGTTGTCAGCTTTACCATACTGTTCATTGCAGTGAGGGGTCCTCAGCCCTCCATGGTAATAAAGAGGCCTTTCTGTACAAGATGAAATTTTAGGCAAGTTAAAAAAAACCCAAACACACCACACTTTTGACTATAGCATGAATAACATTGTGGCTGACTTTGTTTGTCTAACTCCCTGTACATGCAACTTCACTGTCAGGAGCATTTATCTCGTACTGTGGGAGTTTTGGTGTCCACCAAAGATGTTTCATTAGGACCTTCTGTTGTAAAATGATTTGCAGTCCTGACACTGAAAATCACTCTGTGGTGGAGGGAGCTTCACTTCTGTCCAGAAGCAGGATTACAGTGAGAATTAACTTCTTTCTTGCCCCAGTGTGGTACACGGGCATCCCTCACACAGTATAATCTCCCTTTCCGTTTGCTCTGAGATTGCGCCTGTCCACAGATGGAGCCCATCTGTCACCCACGGTCCATGTCCTGAACAACCTTCTTAACACTCCACCTTCTAGCAGAAGAGGTCACTCAAATCAAACCCCAGATGTGGGCTCATCTGGTGTCTACTATCTGCAACAACAGGACCGCCCTATAGCATGATCTTTTCTACCTGTTCTGTTCACTCTACAAAATAACCTAATTACCTAATAACGACACTCATGGACAGACCAACTGCAAGGCAATGGCATTAGATGCCTGCATCAAAAGCTATGATTTTCACCTTCATGACTAAGTAAGTGCCAAGGCAATGCCAGACTTTGAAACTTCTGCATAGTCACTATAGGGATATCAGAACCAACATAACTTATAAACATATAAAGTATATGAAACTATTCATTGTTTCAACATTCAGCTTGTTAGTGACAATACAATAATGAAGACAGAGGATGGGGGACTTGTTATGATCAAACATCATGATACGAGTATTGATGTGCTGAAAGGAACCATACATAATAAGCATAACGTTAAGGTCCTCGATCAATCAAACTATGGATTTTCTACCTCATCTTATGCAATTATCAGACACCAGAAAATAACTTTTCCTACTACCCAAAAGGGGTTTTTGCCTACTGACCACTGAACTAAAGCATTCATCCCTGAATAAATAATCAGAGCTTTTAGTCTGATAAAGATACAAAATGTTAGCACTTGGAAATCTCAAGAAAAAGGCAACATTTCAACCTTAAATACCAGCCTGCCTGACTCGGTTTCTTCCAGACGTCTCCCAGAAAAAAACTCCCATTAATTTCAAAGGAAGTTTCAACAGATAAGGTCATGTGTTTTGACCCTTACTGCTTTCGATATTTAAAATAATTGAATCTATTGTTGCAGCAAATAAGAGCCTAATAAAATACTTGTATTACTATTTATTTTTTTATAATTACTGATGTTCTATGCAGGTGGGAAAGCTTGGTTGCATGCCTCTAGGACACTAATGGGAAATATTTTTTTTTCCAAGCATCACATTTATCAGTGGACTAGAAGAAAATAAGCCTGTATTAGGAAGTTTCACGCTGGCTCTCATTATGCCATCTCATAAGCTTGTCCTTTGATTTATTATAAAAATTAAATATATTTTCTCAGTGAGATCAGAAGTATTAGATGAGAGGTCATGGTAATGCTGGCAGAAAAATGCTAGTTTTACGGTGCAAAATCTTTTGTATTACACGTACTAGGTTCAACCAACGCTGCTGAATTGCCAGGGGAGTCTGGTAGGATCCTGGTGGATTCCTGTTCCCCAGGCTCATGGATGATGGAAACTGTGGGGTCCCCAGCTCTGGTACAGCCCAGAAGTAAATCTCTCCCAGTGCCTCCTGCAGGGTGCTCAGCAAATTTGACATCCTTGTCAATTTTGCTGCAGTTAGAAGCAGGGGAGCTGACAGGAATACCAATTTTGCAGAGCAGCTGCAGGATACTGGTAGCTTAGTAGAAATGAAAATTAAAGAAAAAAAAAAAAAAGAAGGTTTTGGATTCAGCTGAGATCAAACCCAGTACTGCAATTGACAAACATTCCTTGCAACCTGGAGACCCAGCTTTTAAATTAGTTCTTCAAACCCCGAAGTCCCTCTTACCGGGGAGGAGATGTGATGGCATGTCTGATTAAAGCTTCCTTCTCCTCTGAGAAAAGGAAATACGTATTTTTTACTCTGGTTATAATCAGTGTGTACTTTCCAAATGTTTTGGTAAATGGGGCACCTCTACGTAACACTTCTTGTAATGCCCAGAGCAGACTATGCAAGCCAGCTTCAAACTAATCAGTCACAGCAGCATGCAGCTCCACCCCACCTCCCAGAGCTGGATAAACCACACAAATAAACACCAGCCAGGCTTTGGAAACCCATGGTACATCCTGAACTGCCACGGTTATCCTCCTAGTTGGAACCAACTAACCCAGCATGCTGGAACTAGCTTCAAAGGAGTTGTCACCATGGTCTCCATGTGTCCCTAAGGGCTGTATGGTTATCATGGAAATCCTGCTACCCTGCACTATGGTTATGACTGATACAGAATGTGAAGACAAGCCTTTTGTTTTGCAAAAAACACGTCATTTTTGGTGACAATAGTTCTCAGCTGCCAAGTCAAAATATACAATCATCACTCAGAGTAATGCAGCCATCTATTCCAGTTCATTAGCCTCTGCCTGACGGATTAGAGAGCAGTTGAAATAACACACAGTAAAAAGCACCTTTGGGTATGAACCCTGAAAACTCTTATTCTGCATTTAGCCTCATGCAAGAGGTTGCATTTAGATAAATGGGACTTCCCAAGCAATTATGGGCCTTTTTCAGGAGCACAGGCATCAGGGTGCCAGAAGTTACGGTCAAGTCCTGCCTGAAAGCTTCCACTGTGCAGGAAACAGGTCAGAGAGCAACTGGGCTGTAACTCAAGCTGCTTCTGGCACGTAAAGGGGCAAGATTCTCACTGCCTGATTTCTAGTTCTAGTGAGAACAATAAAAAAATCAGAAGAAAATTCATGTTTTCTCACAGACCATCCAGGCTAACGACTTGCAAAACCACATGTAGTAGTTATTAGTCATCATGGAAAATAAAGAGACCTTCTAAACAGATCATCAAACACACCATGTACAAACTTCCACTACGTGCATCAGTGCCTGGACCTGGGATTCTTCCACAGACCAATTTACAATATTAAACCACGGTTTTGCAGTTTTCCATACTTATTTTTTAATTTAAAAGAGTCTTAAACCAGGAGTGTTAGAAAGCAATGGCAGAAGAAGGGGTGTGGCGGGAAGAGAGATTTGTTTTTCTCAGAAAACAAGTGACACATCTTTCCTGCCCAGTGGAACAAATAATTTATGGTTACACAAGTTACTCAACACCATGTCAACTCCTTTGTCATGTATTTTTCTCACTCCTCTATTAGCATTTACAGGAGTTTGAATGTGGCTGAATCCACCACTAGTGTTGTCTTTTTATACTGCCATTTCCTTTACCCATAATCTGCTAAATCAATGTAACAACATCTCTTCTGGGTTACCCTTTAGCTCTCGTAGCAGAGCCTGAATATACAGCTTTGGCAAGCTGCTGCTTTAATTGTGCACCCGATGTGTTGTTTTGAGGTTTTTTTAGAGGAAAAAAAGCTGGTACCAAAGTTAAAGATCTCTTAGGATCTGAGAAATATCTCCAAGCCAGGCTTCCACAACCTTTAAAACCTGTAAAAACAAGGGCTGCACTATAAATTTTTAGCCTTGTCGAGCCAACAGCTCCAGGTTAACAAACCAACCCAACCGTGACTATTACCTGCTGAAGTGTGCTTGAATTTTTCACTCTTCTTCTTCCTCCATTTCCATGGTTTAAAAAGTCTTCCAAGAGTGGCAAATTTGCTTCTTCTTCTGATCGGAGGTGTGTGAGTCCCAGGTACCAGAGAATCTGAACGCATTGCAGCCAGTCTTTCCACTTCCTCAGCTATAGTTTCAGCAAGAAAAGGAGAAAAAAAAAAGGGGGAAGGGGAAGTAAAATTAATGCTTTAATAAATTATCAGAGAACCACACAGATGGTCAAAATTTTCCAGTTACAGAGAACAGTAAAAAAGGGAAAAAAATTGTAGTCATTATTTTAATATTATTTTCTTTCAGTGGAATCCATAATTTACTGTAAAGATCAGTATTAGAAATCAGATTCAACAGGAATATGGATTATTACAATAGCAAAGTTATAATCTTTAACAAATTGTTCTGCATCACTCTAGACAGCTGGCAGTCCATCCGCCAGCCATTCCTGGGGAAGCGTGAGAGAGACTGGGGAGGAGAAATCTCAAAAAAAATGATGCAATACTGCTTAAAAGAAATACTGCAAATCTTTTTTTTTTTTTTTTTGCAATTGAAAGAGACATTTCCATGAACTAGTATTTATCAGGAGCAAGGACCCCGACAAATAACAACCCTCTGGTGCCATTACTGTGTCCATTAAAACTGCCTGGGTTACAGAAGGGGCTGCATTAGGCATTTCCTAGTGACAGAAAAGGTGCTAAAAATTGAGGTGGTTCCTTCCAGTCCCACTTTCCTGCCCACTCATTCCCCTCCAATTCTTATGCTTGTCTTTTAACACAGGGACTTGGAGAATATTAATAGAATTTGTACTCAGGGCTGAATTCCCATGGGGGTGTTCTGGGTTTTCACGGAGCTTCTGTTGTTAAAAAATTCAGCTTTCTGCAGCCTTTACACTGTAATACACCATGATAGTCTTAATACTTTAAAAAAATTAAAAATCTGAAGAATTTAAATTATCCTTCCTCCCTGATGAGACCAAGAGAAGTCTGGGAGTGGTGACTCCATGCAGTTACGTTGCATGGTCCCCGCCTCACATTTGCAGGGGAAAGATGCTGATAGTTTTGAGAAATAATGTTCCTGTCATTAGAGGCACAGAGAGACCTAAGCCAGGACCAAAATGGCAAACACCAACAGGGGGATGGTACCAGTAGCCCAGGAGAGAGGGTCTCTCCATGCCAGAGCTGCCAAAGCTGCAATAAGCTCTCCCAGCCCTGGGCTGAAGTACACACTCTCTCTCTCTAAAAAAAAAAAATAATATCTGTGCAGTTCAGTCAGCATACAGGAGAGGGGTTTAGTGGTTTTCTGTTAAGTTGCTGGTATTGTTTTCTGTTTTTTTTTTTAAAAGGGATATAATTTCCCAGGCTTGTGTTGTATTGCGACACTGCCAGGAAAACTTACTTGCGTGGTTTGTACACACGGAGTCTGGATTCATAAAGACACAGATTGTCACCTCTCCTGCAGCCCAGGGTTTCTATTTCGCCTCTAGTATATCAAGTACCAACCTCAGCCACGAGCACAGGCTCGGGAACCTCAGCAGGAACATTGCTCTGAAGGGATGAGCACACCTACGCCACACTGACAGAAACATCAGAGATTTTGGCTGGAAAATTCTTATGTGTCTCAATGGAAAATTTTCCAAGGCTTTAAGTATGCCAAAATTAGGTGGGTTTTCATGGGAATCACGTTTCTTATCACAAAGGAAGTTCCATTATCAGAACTCCAAACTGAAACAGTATTTGAGCCCCCTAGGTTTTTGAGAGAAGGTCTTTTGTTTGATTTTTAACACTGGCAACACAATCCGTTTTCCTGTAAAATATCACTGCCAGATAGAGCTGCCTGTAACTTTCTGGAGAAGAAAAAGCTACCCAGCAAGACACAGAGAGCCCAACTACTTCAGTGGAAATGGTTAAAAACAACTATTCTTTGGGGTAATGGAGAGAAAGACAGACATTTCCAAGAACAGCTTCTTTCCATTTAAAGCAGAGGTAAAAAAGGTAGTCTGGGCAAAGCATTTAGTTCTGTTCGAGCTCTTTGTGCCTGACTGCCCAGAGCGAGACCTTCTTACAGAGAGAACCCATTTCAAGGCTCTGTCCTGTGCAGGGGCTGGGACATGCTGCATCAAGGCTGGAAATTGCCTGGTTATGTGGAACAAATTGCGAGGGTAAAAAGAAGAGGAAATCCAAAATTTCCTTACATTTTCTGATTTCACCGGAACCTGCTGGGCTTTGAAGACCAGCACTGGGTAAAGACCACCTCCCTTGATTTGCAGATCCAAAGGGGCCATGCCTTTTCTCCTTCCTCCATTTTTAAGATGCCTCTCACTAAAGCACATAACATCACATTGTGTTCCACTGCTGTGAGTTTTAGAGATGCTGCTAAAAGTAATGGGCTGGTATTGTCTTTGCTGTCTTACTTGAGGGATACAGGGTGCAGAAGCAGCTCATTGAGTAAATTGGGAACAGCAAACTACTGCTGCTGAATTTGGCTTCCTGCTGCATAAACCCACAGCTGAAACATAATGAAATTCCGCTTGCTGCTCCCCCTCTCTCCTTTTCCCCCTGTCACTGAGCCACCATTTCTGCTACACAGGTGCTTTAGTTACTGAATCTCAGAGTTGGCAACAACCCCTCTTTGGGAGCTGGTCCTCACTGGCATTGCTGAGGCCATTCCCTGGAGAACTGACATCCCTTAAAGATTCTTTCCTTTTGCAACATACATCCCCTCTGTCCCATATCAGCTGAGCTCTCACTGCCCCCAGGAAGCTTTTCCCGTTCAGGATAAATGAGCATCACTAACACTGGAGTTAAAGAATTTACCCAAAGGGCAGGTTCATTAAAAGCCAAACACAGCATCAAAACCATTTCCATATTTTGACTCCCCTTCCCTGAATTTCAGTATAATCTCTCACATGGATCTGTGCCCCGGGAGTCCCGCTGTGCTTTCCATCAGCCATGGACGTGGCGCTTCTTCATCCTCTCCAAACATACACAGCTTTGAGCTAATGCAAGTAACAGCTCTTTTTCCCCTCTCTCGCTCCTATTTCTCAGAAGGACTACCTCATTTTTTTTCATGAAAAATACTCTCAAGAGCACTGCTAATCCAAAGGATAATAATCACTGGCTAGGAACGAACCACATTAGCATAAAGCCATGACAGTTTTAATACAGCAAGAATAAAAGCAGACCACGATGCGAGAAGCAAACGCCAGATCTCTGCGCTCTTCTTTGCTGCTGCATCTTTTGCTCAAGTTGGCCGGGTTTCTCTGCCTTTTTGGCTCCTGAGGACTATTGACTGGCTGTGGGCTGCGACACCCACTGCTGACAGCAGGCTCCGTAGGCTGCTTTCACACACTTGCTGTTCCCAAAAAAGGTGGTACTTGCGTGAAAGGAAACCAACCCAGGCCTTGCACTTTTTTTTTTTTTTTTTTGCCTTCAAAGAGGAAAGCAGTTCCAGCAGTCCCAGCTTGATCAGTCTGCTGAACTGGGAGCAGTTGAGAGTGTTTAGAAAAAAACACTCTTAATCACATTTTGGTACACGGAGCAATCTCATTGCTGAAGGCTGAAGCCCACCCATCCCATCCATGATCTTTAATATTCCCGTCCTCACCGGTAATCGCAGTAGGTTTCCTTTCAGACCGTTTCTTAACACTCATAGTTCATAATCAGAGACATGATTATCTTAACAGACAGTTAGATTTTAAGCCTTCCTAGGAAACACCAATGGCTGCATTGTGCTTTCTGTTATACCTGTGCAAATCTGTAGTAACAGGCTGAAAATGATCTTGGCCCCAAAGATGCAATTGACTAAATGTGCCATTTTATTTAATGACAATAACTTTGCTTGAGTAAAACAAATTAACAATATACTTCTTATTCCTAATCCACATCCAACCAGGCTTTTATTCTGCAGATTAGTTTCCAACAAACTCCTGTTGCAAGGTTTCATTTGAACCCTACACTCAGAATATCCTCCACTTGAGACTGCACAGAACTTAGTCCAGCAGCTTTGTTCAATCAAGATGCAGATGCATCATATGTCTTTTTGAATGACAGGAAACCTGAGCGACTACTCTAATTGCCAAACACTTATGTCTTCTCTCTACCTGAACAGGAACAGTTTCAATTAAAAAAGCACCTTGTTTTTCTTTCAGGAAAATGGTTCATTTTCTGCTCTTCTATTATCATCTGTTCAGTTATTTCCCTTTAATTTCCCTTTGCACCTGGAATTAATTTTCATCAGCCCTCCCTTTACTATTTGAATTGCCCATTTAAACTTTTCCTAACTTCTCAAAGGTCTGTTTTCCAATGAAAGACGAGGGATGGCAAGCAGCAGTCTAAACTCAGTCTTGCCAAACAGGGATGATTACCTCCTCAGTTGACAACAGCTCCCACTGGATGCGTGCATTTGCAATGGCACACACTGGGTTGGTGTAGTGGGTTTATGAGCCATGAAGAGGCTGTCAGTAGCTTTCCTTTGCATGCTAGGCAGCACACGTATTTTCCAAACCCCTGCCAATTATTCCCACTCCCCAGGTGTGTCACACTTTGCATTGTATCCATAAACTGAATTTCTCACCCTTCACACTTGCCCATTTCAGCACAGGCATCAGACTGTGGCACGGCTCTGCTCTCTCCTGTGATCTCTCAGCGTATTTATTTCTCTTGTTGGAAGAGAATTGCAAAGATCAGCTTTGGAAGTCCAATCCCTTTAGGACCCTGCTTTCATCTTCCCTACATTTTGACGTAAAACGTTAATTATTCATGCTGATTGCAATCTGAAAGCCATTTTTTAACCTCTGCAAACTATACTGCACTGCATGCATCGCTCTAAACATGTCTTTATTGCTATGAAATCTTGCAAAACACCAAGCACTTTCTGTAATTTAACACAGTACACAAGATTTTTACTTGCAACAAAAGCACTTTATGAGGTTATGCCATCAATAGCTACATAATCTCTTCCTATAAACCCCACAATTATAGAAAATAAGGATTGGTAGATTTCGCTGATATCTGCTATTTTTTCTATCCCTTATTGCTCTTACGACTCACTGGGTTTTCCATCTCCTAAGTGTTTATTACATACAGATTTGGTGCTAAATCCAATAAACAGTACTGCAGCTCCTCATTTCTGGGC